GGGCCACGAAGGGCAGCGAGGAGGCCGCGAATGGCGACGGCGGGGCCGCGAAGGACACGGGGCCACGACGGGCGCGCGCGAGCGGAGGCCACGAAGAGCATGCAACGCCAGGCCACGAGAGACAGCGACGCGGCCACTGAGGGCAGCAACGGCGCCACGAAGGACGCGAACGAAGGCGGCCGCGGAACCCGCGATCGGGCGAAGGGCGCGAGCGAAGGGCGCGAGCGAGCGGGCGCCACCTACCCGCCCCCGCCCCCCCTCTCTCCCCAGCGATCCCCAGCGGCCCAATGGAGCCTCCGCCCAGCGCCCCCTCCGCCCCGAACATTTTATTCCGCTTCGCGCCGCGCCCCCCCTCCCCGCCCCCGCCACCCCCTCCTCGGCGTTCCCCAGCGGCCCAGCGCCCCCTCCGCCCCGACCACTTTCTCCCGCGTCGCGTCGCCCCCCCCCTCCACGGCGTTCCTCCGCGCCCCAGTGGAGCAGCCGCCCAGTGACCCCCACGAGTCGACAATTTCATTCCGCGTCGCATCGCACCCCCCTCCCCGCCCCCGCCACCCCCTCCCAAGCGTTCCCCAGCGGCCCAGTGCCCCCTCCGCCCCGACGACTTCATTCCGCGTCGCGTCGCCCCCTAGTCCGTGGTCCCCGGCGTTCCCCAGCGGCCAAGTGCCCCCTCCGTCCCGACCACTTCATCCCGCGTCGCGCCACCCCCTCCTCCCCTTTTCCCCCCCGCGCCCCAGTGAAACAGTTGCCTAGTGCCCCCTCCGTCCCGCGTCGCGTCGCACCCCTCCCTCCCCGCGCTCTCGCCCCCCCCCTCCCTCCCCACCTGTTTTTCGCATCGCCCCTCCCCCCCCCCCCCCCCCCCTTGCCCCCACCTAGAGCTCTTTCCCCCGCGGCCCCCTTGTCTTCGCCACCCTGTTAGCCGAGTGCCCCCTCCGCCCCGACCACTTTATTTCGCGCCGCCCCCCCTTGTCCGCAGTTCTGTCCCCAGCGGCCCCCTTGTCTTCGCCATCCCTCTGTCCCCAGCCGAGTGCCCCTCCGCCCCGACCGCTTTCCCCCCCCCGTCCTCAGTTCTGTCCCGGCGCGGCACGGCACCGGTCCCCTTCCGCAGCCCATATATAAGTTCTCCACATCCCCCCCCCACCAGCCAGCGCGTCCGTCCGCCCCGGCCGCGTCCTTGCGGCGGCACGGCACCAGCTCCATTCCGCTCCGACCACTTGATTATCTTGCACAGTTGTGTTCTAGAGCTCGAACCTCTTTGTCGTCGTCGTCGTCGTTCGTTCGTTCGTCGTTCGTCCTCCCCCCTGACCGTCCTGGCCTTGCCCTGGACCCAGCCCTCCCCAGCTCCCCTCGCTCTTCCCCCCCCTGGCCTCCCTCACCCACTCCCTGGACCCAGCCCCCCTCGCTCTCCCCCCCTAGCCTCCCGTTCGTCGTCCCTCCCCCGCCCTCGGCCTCTTTATTTTCGTCGTCGTCGTTCGTTCGTCGTTCGTCGTCGTCGTTCGTTCGTTCGTCGTTCGTCCTCCCCCCTGGCCTCCCTGGCCTTGCCCTGGACCCAGCCCTTCCCCTGCCCCTGTCCTGGACCCAGCCCCCCTCGCCCTCTACCCCCTGGCTTCCCTGGCCCCAATTTGGCCTCTCTGGTCCCCTGGCCTGGCCCTGGGCCCAGCCCTTGCCCTTGCCCTGGACCCAGCCCCCCTCGCTCTCCCCCATGGTTTCCCTGGCCCACTCGTTCGTCCTCTCCCCTCGCCCCCCTGGACTTGCCCGCTGTGTTCCAGAGCTCGGACATGTTGATTATCTTGCACAGCTGTGTTCTAGAGCTCGGACCTCTTTGTTTTCCTTCGTCGTTCGTTCGTCTTCCGCCGTTCGCACCCCCGGCCACGGAAGGGAATTCCTGGCGGAAGGAGGCGAATGCCTCCTGTCCCTCGCAGCTCCCTTGTGAAAAAAGCCAGGACACGCGTGCTACTTGTTTTCAAGAGTGAGAGCTCAACAACAACAACAACAACAACCACAACAACCACAACAACAACAGTCACGTCAACAACAACATCAACACCAACATCAACAACAACAACACAAACAACAATACAACCACCACCAACAATAACAACAACAATACCAACAGCATCATCATCATCATCAACAACATCATCACCACAAACAGCAACAGCACCACAAACAACAACAACAACAAGAACAACAACAACAACAATTACTAGCACGTGGGAACACTCCGTTCTCACCAGTGCCAGGGTTTTCATAGGAGGCGGGCAATACCCCCACTTTGTGGGGGGGCCGGTTCAAGCTCTACCAAATTTCCAAACGACTCTTCGCCACCACCCACACCCAGCTTCCCGCCCTATGACGTTCGGACACTTCACTTCGTGGCATGCGGACGACCGTGGCTACTATTCAGGGCCCCGCGGCCGACGACGACGGCGTGCGCGCGCGAAGAAAAAACGAATGTGTCCCGCATGGTATTATTTGACAGGGATGATGGCCCTGGCAGGTGCGCAACCGTTGTCGCAGAAGTTCGAAAAAGTTGCTCGCAAAAGCCCGTTTGACAGAAATGTTTAAAAAGTGTTGGGTTTCCTACGAATCCGCAAGAGCGCGCGGGATGAGATTTTGACAATTTTTTGTTGAAAAACCATTGGTTTTTTGATGTTTTTATGTTAAAATCGCTGCGAACACTAAGGTTTTGGAAGGATTTCGTCTTGCGCGCGCGAATGTCCACTTTACATTATTTTTTGCAAGGGATTCTTGAAATTTGATTATATTAGAACAAGAAATGTCATTTTCTATTGTTTTTTGCAAGGGAAAGCGGATTACAACAAAACAACCGGATCCTGTACACACCCTCTTTTCTGAGGCTTCCTCACGAAAATGATGAAAATGTAGCTGCGGCCTAGGCGGCGCAGGGGGGGCGCGCACCAGGGGGCCCAACAATAATTATTCTTTAGAATAAATAATGTTCAACAACAACAACAACAACAACGACACCGACACCGACAACGACAACACCAAAAACAACAGCAACAGCAACAGCAACAATCAGTTTATGATTATTTGCTCTTGCCTGCCCTCTTGCCGCACTCTTGCCATTCAAAACGTATATCCCAAACCCTCGGTGCCCACATGTTTCGCGTTCGATCGTACCCCAGCCGGGGGTATATCTTACTTGCCGCGTGTAATTGGCGCAGACCCTGAAACAGGGGAAGAGAGGACGGATGGAAGGGGGAGGGAGAAGGATGGAACACGGGATTGGCAGGAGGGTGGTCAGGAGAAGAAAACACGTGGCAGAACCAGACGGGTCCATCGGGCGGGTAGACCCCTAACGGGCGGGTCGGGAAGGCGGGCCCAATCGGCCAAATCGAGAACACGTGTTGCTTAAGCGTGAGTCCTGCATGAATCGCGGGGAGCGCTCGAGAGATACTTTGATTCCTAAGTAAAACGTGAGACAGGCCAAAGCGAGAGCGTGACTCCTGAGCGTCGAGGGCGCAGCGTTTGAACACATTGCGAGGAAGTCCCACGCGAGAGCGCGATCCGTGCATAACTTATGAGGAAGTCCTGCGCGAGAGCGCGGTTTTGGGAATCATGTGAGGAAGTATCAGGCGGGAGCCGCTGCTGCTGTTGTTGTTGTTGTTGGTGGTGGTGGTGGTGTTGTTGGTGTTGTTGGTGTTGTTGGTGTTGTTGGTGTTGTTGAATTCTCATTTCTGAAGAATAATTATTGTTGATCCCCCCCACCGGTGCATACTGTTGTTTCTCAATCAAAGTGTGCCGCCCCTCGACGTTCGCACCCTGTTTTTTGACAGGGAAAGTCTTCCTGCTCAAACTGGCCCCTTGGCCCCCGGGTTACAACAACAACGGCTTCCGCCTGAGACTTCCTTACAATTTAGCCAGGACCCCGAGACTTCCTCGCATTTTATTCAGAAATCGCGCTCTGGCTGGGGACTTCCTTACAATTTATTCCGGAATCGCTCTCCCGGCGCTCTGGAGTCGCGCTCTCGAGATTTGCTTGCAATTTACTGAAGATTGGCCTTGCGTTGGAATTTTTTCCAATTTGCCCGAGCGCCGCGCTCCCGACACCCAGGCACCCAGGAGTCGCGCCCGTTCTGGCCCCATGTGCGTGCCCTTCGTGGCCCCGCTGTCGCCATTTGTGTCCCCCTGACTGTCCTACGTGGCCCAGTTGCTACCCTCAGTGGCCCCATAGTTGCCTTCTGTGGCCCCGCATAATCTGCACTTCGTGGCCCCCGCTCGTTTGCGCTCTTCGTGGCCCCATACGCATTCCCTTCGTTTCCCCGCTGTCGCCCTTCGTGGCCTACTTCGTGCCCTTCGTGGCCCTGCTGTCGTTCTCTCTCGCTCTCCCTTTCGCTCGTCGTCGCCGTCGTCGTCGTCATCGCCGTCGTCTTCGACGTCGCGTCGTCGTCGTCGTCGTCGTCGTCGTCGTCGTGGTCGGTCCCCTGTCCGTCCCTCTTAGGGTCGGGTCGACGGTCCGCGGCCGCCCCGCCGATCAGCGCTGCCTCTGGCCAGGCCGACGGTCCGCGGCCGCCCCGCCGCTTGCCGGGGCCCGGCCTACAGGGAAGAAAGGTATATCCCCCAAAAGGGGTTCGATCGAAGCCGAAGAGGGCGGGTATCGAGGGTTTGGGAAATACGCGTTATTGGACACTCGAGCATATAAGGGCGAACAGTCTTAAACTTATGGTGGTTGTTGTTGTTGATGGTGTTGTTGTTGATGTTGTTGTGGATTCATCGCATTTATTCTTTAAAAAAGCGAACGTTCAACAGCCACAATGACAACGACAACAACAACAACAATCCGCACCGCGGAATCCCACTTCAACCACGCACCCAGGGACAGTGAATTACTTTTCGGTCCCCTCATTTTACTAAGTACGAACAACAGCAAATAGATGATTAAAAAGAGGAAGAGGAAGAAGGAGGAGGCTGGAAAGGGGCAGCAGCAGCAGCAGAGCCAGGCGCAGGTGGACGAGGAGGAGAAGGAGGAGAAGGAGGAGCGAGGTGGATGCCGCCCTGAAGAGCTGGGGTTGCGAGCTGGCCGTCGATCAGGCGAAGCTGTTCAGGAGAACGCTCGCCCTCCTTCTCGTCATCCTTCCTCCGCCCCTCTCTCCCTTCGCCTTCTCCGTCTCCACCTCTCCGTCCTCCCGTCCCCCAGCGGTTTAATTTCTCCACACCGTAGGTTCGCGTTGTGTCGACCAGAGTGCACCCCGCCGCCAGGGTCCGACGTTGAACGCCGCCGGCAACCCAGAATCGATCGATGTTGAACGATCTCACGTTTCGGAAGCGGCCGAACGTTCAAGGTTGAACGATCCCCGCGGTGTCAGAAACCAACGCCGAAGTCGGCACGACACGCAACTGCCATAGGCAGAGAGGGACTGCTACATCTCAGTGTGTCTCCTGAGGTCAACGTGTGATCAATGTTAAGATCATTGCCAGGATTCGTTACTGCAAGTTGGCTTTGGCCATTGGTGGATCAGCCTTTTTTGCCTCGTTCAGGCACCAGCTGCCCACAAGGCTGTGTAATCCACCAGTAGTCCTCTCCGTCCTCCCCGCCCTATGTCGGCGGCGAGCGAGGGGGGAAGTGAGAAGGAGGATGCCTTCTCAGAAGGTCGTCGGGGCGACTGAGAAGGCTCCTGTGTCTCAGAGGAATGCCAGGAGGAAAAGACACACACAGACACAATTAATCGCCGATTCCCCAGAAAATATGGGAAAATATGGGAAGTGGGGGGAAGACAGAAAGCCAGAATATATGGGAAAATATGGGGAATCCTTTTATTTGTGTGTATTTATTTGTGTGTCCCAGGGCCCCTTCAGCTTAGACGATCTCTGAGAAGGTCGCGGGACCTCCGAGCCTTCTGAGAGGGTCTGCCCCTTCTCACTTCCACCCCCCCCCGGGATCGCCGCCGAGAACGGGATTGGTCCCCGGGCATCTCCAGCCTTCGGGGCGGATCGATTTCAGGAGGGGAAAAAACACACAGACACAATTAATCGTCGATTCCCAAGAAAATATGCGAAAATATGGGAAGTGTGGGGGGGAAGACAAAAACCCAGAAAATATATGAAAATATGGGGAGTCTTTTTATTTGTGTGCATTTATTTGTGTGTCCCAGGGCCCCTTCATGATTTCTTCACTCCTGCAGTTTTCCCTCCGTCGCTTGCGTGTCCCAGGCACCTCAGACATGGGTCATGGACGAAGAAGGCCCTGCGGGGAGGGCGTATCGGGACCTGTCTCGGGTCCTGTGATTGAGATCGCCATGGCATTGGTAGGGGAACAAAAAGTGGCATAAACATTAAAACTCGGAGGTCCGCGCGGATTTCTCGGATCGGCGCTGGATCCCCCTCCCTGGCGCGCGGAGCGCGCCAGGGACGGCGCCGAGGCGCCGCCGGGGGGCCCCAGCGCCGATCCGAGAAAGCCTCGCGGACCTCCGATTTGTCATGTTCATGCCACTTCTTCTTCCCCTCATGGGAGGTCCGGGCGTGGCAGCTCGAGCAGAACATTTGCGGTGCTGGCCGCTGGCCGCTCACCGAACGAGCGCGGGCAGCGTCGACGGGGCGAGCCGGGCACGCGCACAGGCCAAGGCCGCCACGAGCACGAGTACGCTGCCCGCCGCCGCCTCCCGGGGCGACGGGCGGGGGCGCCGCGGGCGGGCACGCGGCCGAGGCAGCGCGCGGATGGGCGACGAGCTCCGCTTGCGTGCAGGATTGGCGCGCTCCGCCGCCGAGTCAGGCGCTGGCGCCAGAACCGCTGATCCCTGGTCCATGCCGGCGCGCGCCCAGGAGGAGGAGGAGGAGGAGGAGGGGGAGGAGGAGGAGGAGGGGGAGGAGGAGGACGGGGAGGAGGAGGAGGAGGAGGAGGAGGAGGAAGAGGAGGAGGGAGGAGGAGGAGGGGGGAGGAGGAGAGGAGGGAGGAGGGGGGAGGAGGGGAGGAGGGAGGAGGAGGGGAGAGGAGGAGGAGGAGGAGGAGGAGGAGGGAGGAGGAGGAGGAGGAGGAGGAGGGGCAGGAGCAGGAGCAGGAGGAGGTGGAGGAGGTGTGCCGAGTTCGCCGAGGTCCAGGTGGACCCACGCCGGCGATCGCGGCAGCTCGAGGCGCGCCTCGGTACACTCGGCTTGCGATGGGGCGCGGCCGGCTGTCCACGTCCTCAGGGCCGGATGCGCGTGCGTCAGGGCCCTTCGCTGGACGCGAGAGCCCTGCGCCCCGGGCTGCGGCGAAGCGGGGCCCGGCCGCGGGCTTGCAGGGGGCGCCACTGCGGAGATCCCGCCGTGGGGCGACGCCCGGGGAGCAGGTGGCAACGTCAGCGGGGGGATGGGCTCAGGGGGACGCATCGACCCCCAAATGCCCACTCATCGCCGACTCCGGGCACAGCAAAGAGTCACAACCACAACCGAGTGGGTTTTTCGGGAGGGCCCCTCGGGGAGGAACCCGCCGACCTCGGCATGAGCACTCTGGTTGTGGTTCTGGTCGAGTTGGCCGCCCTGGGACGCCACATCGACCTCGACCTGTACGAAGCTGGTGTCGGTGTTCTGGCAACTCTCGGCGTGCGGAGACATCCCCCAGCGTGTACCCTCGATGTGGCTGTGGTCGCGGTCTGTCCCTGCACCGATGGGTGCCCCGATAGCCCGCCGCCCAGGAGCGCGCGGTTCGGCGATCGAGGCCCTGTCGCCGATCAGTCGGCAGTGTCTCGTCGATCCCAGGTCGGCGTTGCCCCCCACAGTCAGGAGGGAAAAACACACACACACACACACAGACACAATGAATCGTCGATCCCCAAGAAAATATGGGAAAATATGGGAACTGGGCGGGAAGGCAAAAACCCAGAAAATATTGGAAAATATGGGAACCTTTTTAGTTGTGTGTATTTATTTGGGAAAATATGGGAAAATATGTGTGAAAATATAGGAAAAATTGGGCGGGAAGGCAAAAACCCAGAAAATATTGGAAAATGTATGAAAATATGGGAACCTTTTTAGTTGTGTGTATTTATTTGCGTGTCCCGGGGCCCCTTCAGACGGAGCGGGCCGCACCACTGGTGGGCTTCGGGTCGGTGCCCGGGCCTCCGACGGCCGCTGGGGGCAGCCGGGGCACCCATGGAAAACGCTCGGGCGAGGCGCAGCCGCGGGAGAGCAGCCCAAGGCCGGAGAGCCGCCGGTCTGGACGCCCGAAATGGGTACCGAAAGAATGGGTAAAATGCCCAACAACAGTTCCTGTTCATTTTGAACAGGATTCGCTGTCCGCGCCGCCGCAGCCTGTGTCCATTCGAGACAGAAGGTCGCCTGCCCAACAGCGGCCGCTGTTGGCTTGGGACAACATTTGTTGTTGGGCATAGTGCCCATTCTTTCAGTACCCATTTCGGGCGTCCAAAGCCGGGGACCAACGAAAAAGTACAAACACTTCAAATTCAGGAGGGGAACAAAAACACACAGACACAATGAATCGTCGACTCTTAGAAAGTATGGGAAAATATGGGAAGTGTGGGGGAAGACAAAAACCCAGAAAATATGTGAAAATATAGGGAATAGTTCTATTTGTGTGTATTTATTTGTGTGTCCTGGGGCCCCTTCACAAATCTCGGTACCCCAAACTGCTGAGCACGACATGAATGCTTGCGACCTGGTGATGCTCTGCATAGGGAGCGCGCGCGCGGAGGGCCCTCCCTCCCACGTAATTAGCATCGCTCGCACCCCTCGACCCGTTAGGCCCTCTCCTTGCGGCCCTGCGGAAGGGCGAGCCGAAGCAGCCTGTACGCAGAGGACGGGCTCCGAGGCTCTCGGCATACATCGCAGAGAGCGTGGTTGCTGCCCAGGCCAGCCGGAGCCTCACGGCAAGATTCGGCAACACGGTTGCCCTCGAGCCAGGCAGGCCAAGGGCAAGCGGCAGGCGGGCCGTGCTTCCCCAAGGCGCTGCCCCAGAGGCCCGCACGAAGGCAGCGCTGCGCAGGACGCACACGAGCGACGCACCGAACAGCGGGGCCATCTGAGCCGACGTTGGCGCAGAAGCTGCCCGCGCAAGGTCGCGCGTGAGCGCCCTCGCCTTTGGTGCAGCATGCCGCGCTGGCGGCCCGCGTGATCCTCCAGCGCCGTGCCATCTGAGATGGCACGGAGACCTCACGCGGCGGCTCACGGCGGCTCACGCAAGGCGCCACGCGAGCGACGAAAGAACGGGTGGCACGCAAGCCTGGCGTAAAGCGCGCTTTTCTCCGTCGCTTACGTGGCGCCCGCCCCGTCCTCCCGGGCCGGACGAAAGGGGGGGATTGGGAAAGGGGGGGTTACGAAATTTGCTGCATGCAGCTGGTTTCGGCCTCACCGAGGGGCCCATTCCTCGATACATAGCCGCCTCCGGCGCCGGGAGGCGCCGGGACACTCAGCTACGTGAGCTGATTCTCAAACCTCCCCTTTGCTATCCCCCCCTTTCGCGCGACCCGATCCTCCAGGATCCGCGATTAGTGAATTGTCCGTTTTCGGTTCTCGAGAGGGCGCCGCGGCCGTCATTTTCCAGGCTTGCGCCCGCCAGGTTTGGGCCCGAGGTTGTTTTCACTAAACCACGTTTCAGTAAAGGGAATTCTGTCCATCCCCGATTTTTCTCACCACCCACCAAGCCACCCCAACCTAACCCGAAGCCCTCAATTTGCCTTCCATTTCCAGTGGGGGGAGGAGTCGGGGAACGTTGGAAAAACACATGGTATCCGTACCCCCCCAACCCGAAATTCGGGTCAAATTCGGGTCTTCGGGTTGGGTTAGGGTGGTCTAGTAGGCTCATTTTCTCCGTCGCTCACACGGCGCCCGCCCCGTCCTCCCGGATCACCGGGCCCCGCCCCGGGGCGGCGGGCGCGGCGCCCCGCTGTGCGCGAGGCCTCCGTGGCAGCGCAGCGGGAGAGCACGCTGCGGGCCGTGCCCCGCGGCTGAGAGGGAGAAGCGGGGGGTCCTCCCTCCTCCTCCTGCTACTGCTCCTGCCCCTCCTCCTCCTCCTCCTCCTCCTCCTCCTCCTCCTCCTCCTCCTCGTTCTCCTCCGTCCTCCTCCTCCTCCTCCTCCTCCTCCTCCTCCTCCTCCTCCTCCTCCTCTTCGTCCTCCTCCTCCTCGTCCTCCACCTCCTTCCCCCCCTCCAACTTATGGTGGTGGTGGTGGTGGTGGAAAACAGACCCATCAGATTGAGCCCACTGGGCCGCGGGTTGCCTGTGGTTTGGGCATTTGTCTCGTTTCGCGCTTCGTTCTTCCTTGTTGCTGTTTCGTTTCGTGCTTCGTTGTTGCACTCGACGCCTCGTCTCGCTGTTTCTTTCGTTTGGCACCGGTTTCGGTTTAAACGTTCGTTTTAAACGTTGGGTTTCGTTTCGTGTTTCGTGTTCAGCGCAATTACGTTTTAAACATCGTTGTGATCGGTCCTAGCCTTCGACCCATCCCGCCAACGCGCCTTGTTTGTAGGTCAGAGACCTCTTGACCCGTCCTTGGCCCTTCTTGGGCCTGGAGACGTCATGCGGGAATACGCCAGGCGCGCTGGGAAATTTGAGAATTTGGGGTCTGGGCCCCTGAAAAATTTTCAGGACTGAGGATTGAGGCTCAGGGGATAGAGCATGGGACGTGAGGACACTCCAACTCGTGCCTCGCAGGCACGGTGGCGGACTGTAACTGTGAATGGAGGAATTCCCCCCTCCACCCCCTTGCCGGAGATGCTGCGCGAGAACAAACGGTTGAGGATTGTATACACACGTGTGCATAAGACGCGCGGCATTCGCTGTTCGTCTCGGGAGCATTTCGCTCTCGAGTCACATATCTCGGACCCGCCGTCGTCACCCACAGGCTGTGCAATGTGTGCCGTGGAAACAGGCAAAAATAAACTGGGCCGTGCCTAACGGCTGACAGACAAAATTGGGAAACAACAGTGCCCGAAAAGCTATGAAGAAACGAGTTCCCCCGTCGACTCCTTGGCCTCAGCATCGGAGAGTGCTGCGCGCGAGGAGACGCTGGGTTCGAGCTTTTTCTGGCCCCGCTTCTCTTGGGCTGGCTGTTCAATGCCACGACCAGGGGTGGAGGGGGGCTTGCGAAGGCGTTCGTTCGGCCCTACGTAAGCATGACCTTTCGTTGGAGTGACTTTTGGTGCGGGCACAGTGGGGTCCCCAAACCACTGACTGCGATGCGATGGCCGTGGCTTGCGCGCTCCGGCTCGGCCTCACCGCGGCCCCCGGGAGTCGCACACAAAAGGCCGTTCTTGCCCAGGGCCACCCTTACGAGAAGCCGCTTCCTCGGCACTTGCGGCACGAGAGGCCGCCGAGAGCCTTGCCGCACCATACATGTCAACTGCATCCTAGAGCACGGCCGTACATCAACCCTGGTTCGGATCGCTGGGGATCCAGTGGCATGTGTGCACATGCGTTGCACCGCTTGTGGTGCCAAAACCTTTTCTGTGAAATTCCTTTGTGTTTTTTTCTGGGTCCTACTTACGAGAAGCCGCTTCCTCGGCACCTGTGGCAGCGTTGCTTCCCTCAACAGCACTGCTTCGGCGCAGGCCGTCGCGAGGCCAGGATGGCCAAGGCGGCAATCTCGCGCAAGACAGGACGGGCGGGCGCCGCCCTCTGCCCCTCCCCCCCCGACGTGCCGGGCGCAGCCAGCTGCGACACGTCCCCGCCGCTGCTCTCCCGCCTCGAGGGCGTCTCCGCTGGCCGCCCAGCCCAGCAGAAGAAAGGAGTGGCAGGTTGGCGTCGGGCCTTGCGCATTGGGAGGAGGTAGCTACTCATTCGGTCACAGCGCGCCGTAACGACGGAGCGTCCGTGGTCATGTGGGCCCGAAGAGTTTATAGACGCCAGGTCTGCAGCCCAGCTTCGCCAGAGCACCGAGCGAGCCCGATGCCATAGTCACGAGTGCAGAGCGCGCTCAGCATTCAACAAGCATCGTCGCCGTCATTGTCAATGGGGGGGAAGCAGGGTGCACCTTTTGCGCCTCGAAGGGGCCCTAAAGAGGGACCCACATGGCGCACGAAAGGTACACGTTTTCCCTCCCCCCCATTTGCGGTAGGTTCATGCGGCGTGAGCGCGCCGGCGACGACGCCGACGAAGGCGTTGAACAATGGGAGTAGTGTGTGTGGGGGGGAGCAGGGTGCACCCTTTGCGCCCTGAATGGGACCTAAAGATCGGGTGTTGCCAGAAGTGCCCCTGGCCCAAGGCGCCCCCAGGATTCGCTCCAACTCGGGCCCTGGGACGCTCACTGGTCTATCTGGCTCGACAAACAACGAAGAAGAATGGGGTCTCGTGCTCTGGTCGGGATGTGTCGCGATGCTGCAATGCGTTTGCCACGTCGGAAGAGCCCGGAGGCTTCCCGGGAGGGTCCCCAGGAGGTTTCTGAAGAGCCCGGGGGCGGCTTCCTGCCCTCCCCCCCCAGAGGCTTCATGGAAGGCCCCCCCCCCCCGCGGGCGCGCCGCCAAGAGACAGTGGCCGCCGCTCCACAGGGAGCCAGGGCTCGGCGAGACAGCGCCGTCAGAGCGGCCTCGCCTTCGGGAGCGCCCGGGGCGGAGCTCTGCAGCAGGGCCAGTCGAGGGCCCGCTGCCGCCAGCGAGGTCGAGGACGGAGGAGGGAAGACGAGGGAGGAGGGATGAAGGAGGAGGCAAGAGGTATGGGGGGAGGAGGAAGGAGGGAGGAGGGAGAAAGGAGGGAGGAGGGGAGGGAGGGTTGGAGGGAGGGATGAGGGAAGAGGGAGAGGTGAAGGAGGAGGAGGAGCAGAGAGGAAGGAGCAGGAGGAGGAGGAGGAGGAGGAGGAGGAAGTGGAGGGCACCGAGCTCGAGTGTCCACTTGCCCCTTCTGCCCCTGCGGGCCCCGGGTGCCGCGAGGGCTCAAGCAGTGGCGAAGCGTCCCGGCTCGCCTCTGTAGCCCTACCAAGCAATGTTATAAGAATCTTTTGTGCGGGTTCCACGACATGTTCTTAGAGCATGTCTGGTTGGTAATGTCTTGTTCCCAACCATCCTGTGGTGTTGGGTCTTCGCTTTGAAGAGACAGCGCCCCGCGGCTCCTTCCTCCTCCCCCTCCACCCTTCTCCGTCCTCCCTCCTCCCTCCTCCCCCTTCCCCTCCTTGCCTTTGCTCTCGGCACACCTCTCACACGTTTCGTGGCCCCATAGGGAGCCCCACCGAAGGCCCCAGTGGGGGTGCCCGCATGCGGTTCCCCCACCCAGGGCAGCGTTTCGTGGCCCCATAGGGAGCTCTACCGAAGGCCCCAGTGGGGGTGCCCGCATGCGGTTCCCCCACCCAGGGCAGCGTTTCGTGGCCCCATAGGGAGCTCCACCGAAGGCCCCAGTGGGGGTGTTCGCATGCGTCTCCCCTACCCAGAGGTAGCGCCACCGAAAACGATATTCAGATTTGCGGTATTCACAACTGCATAACTATGGTTGGGTCATTCGCCAGGCTAAGTTTAACAGATCGGGTTTATGTTCTAAGAACATCGATGTTGTTATTCGAACATTTTGGGTTCTAAGAACATTCCGTGGTAGGACTATAGGAATGCCGGGACGGTCGGTCCCTGCTCAAAGGGTGTCGGACATCGGCGGCGCATCCAGGGGCGGAGTGAGGCAGAGGGGGGGGGCCGTCGCAGAGAGCTCGGAGGCCCTCTGGCTTCCGACGCGGCCTGCCCCCTCTCACTGGAGCCGCTGAGGACACCCCCTCTGGGTCTCACTTGGCCACATACAACCTTTCCGAGTGTGAGCCCTCGCTGGAGCTCCAGAAGTCTGACCCACAGGAGTTGGGGTTCATGTCGTGGCTTCCGAGGAGCACGCGAGCCAGGTGGCCCCACAGTAGAGTTGCGACGAGAGCCAAGGGCCCTCGGGCATGCACTCTTTCACGCGTGGATGCTCTCCGCCAAATGTGTCTGGGTCCATCGTCTCTTTGCCGGCGATTCGCGAAGAGTCGGTCGGATTCCGTGGCGCAGCACCCGCGCCCAGATAAGATCTTCGCCCCTCCTGCTCGTGCACACCTCGCCTCCCTGCGTTCCCCTCCCTCCCTCCCCGCTCCCCTCTTTCCTGTATCTCCTGCTGTGCCGCTCCGTTCCTGTCATCTCCCTCATGCTGCTGCTGCTGCTGCTGCTTCCCCCCTCCTCCTCCTCCTCTTCATCTTCCTCCTCCTGCTCCTCCTCCTCCTCATCATCATCATCACCATCATGACCACCACCATCATCATCGTCCTCATCCTCATCCTCATTGTCCTCTTCATCACCCTCACCCTCATCATCCTTATCATCCTCATCCTCATCCTCATCATTGCTATTTTTACTATCCTCCTCCTCCTTCTCCTTCTCTTCCTCCTCAGCATCATCATCAGAAGCATCAGTAGCATCACTTGTTGTCATCACATTAGTCAGCATCAGCATCATCATCCTCACCACCAGCATCATCATCATCATGATCAGCATCATCATCATCATCATCAACATCATCAGTATCATTGTCGTCATCCTCAGCATCATCATCATCACCATCACCATCATCATCATCATCGTCAGCATCATCCTCAGCATCACCAGCATCATCATCAGCAGCATCATCATCCTCAGCATCATCATCATCATCATCATCATCATCATCATCATCATCATCATCATCATCATCATCATCCTCAGCATCATCATCATCACCATTATCATCAGTAGCATCATCCCCATCGCTATCCTCCTCATCTCATCAGCATCGTCATCATCATGACTCAGCGTCATCCCCATCAGACTCAGCGTCGTCATCATCATGACGATCACTACCATGTATCATTCATCATTCATGATTCACTGCTCATCATTCCTCACTCATCACTCAACATCATCACCATCTGCATCATCATCACCATCATCATCATCACCAGCATCAACATACCATCATCATAGTCCACGTGCCGATGCTGTCCTGAACCTCCTCGTCCTCCCCGCCCCCGGCCTCGCCTCGTGGCAGTCGTCGGAGACCTCGGTCCCCACAGCTCCCTGCTCCGCCGCGCTCCTCTCCCTTCTCTTCCCGAGCAGGACAGCCGCCCAGGCCTCCCAGCGAGACCCGGAGCCGTCGGGCGTTGCGAAATGGGGGGCGGCGATGAATCCAGACCTCCTTGAGGCATGAAAAGATCGGAAGGTTTTTCGCTATGTTTAGCCTTTGGGGGCCCTTACAGGGCCTCGGGACTTTCAAAAACGACTCGGGATGAAAAATCGATCCCAGGGAATGGATCCGGACCTCTGGGGGTCGCGTCGTGAAAGAACATGACGTCGGGGGTCTGGGAGTGGTGCCTTGAAAGAGCCCTCAGGGGCCCCCTGGAGCCCAAAAGGATCACGAAAGCTGCATGCCTCTTCCCCGCCCGAGGAGGAGGAGGAGGAGGAGGAGGAGGAGGAGGAGGCCCTTCAGTCAGCGACGCCCGAAGCAGGAGTCGGACGCCGCCGGAGAGCACTCTCGACGCCGGTCGTTGGGCAGCGCGAGCAGCTGGCAGGCGAACCCGTTCATGCCGCCCACGGCGGTGGACCACACCTCCTGGTGGTCCAGGCGAGAGAGAGAGGAGGGAGGAGGGAGGAGGGAGGAGGGAGGAGGGAGGAGGGCGGAGGGCGGAGGGCGGAGGAGGGAGGAAGGAGGAGGGAGGAGGGAGGAGGGAGGAAGGAGGAGGAAGGAGGGCCACCTCTCTTCCAAACCTCTGGCGACTTGGCTTCTTCAGTCCCAGCTTTTTCTCGTCGTCGGCTCCTGGGGGCCACCGTCCCAGGCCTCCCCAATGGGGTCCGAGCAACCGGATAGGATCGGAGGATCGCGCCGATGTCGCCGAGCTTCTCCACGCCGACGCCGCCAAAGCCCTCGCCGACGTCGCCGATGCATCGCAGGTGCATCGGCGATGCATCTGCGATGCGGCGCGACCCCCCGACCCCATCTGCTCGGACCCGGGTCGGGATGTCGGAAGCTGGGCGAGGGCTGCTGAAACCGTGGCTGCTACAACGGCCCTCCCGGAAGGAAAAAACAGCTTCCCGGAAGGAGGCGCGGCACGCGAAACAGTCCACGGGCTCCTTCCCGGCAGGACGAAGACAACCTCTAGGAGGGTGATCTCAGCAGCCACGGATTTAGCAGCCCCTGCCCGGCTTCCGATCGGACCCGGCTCGGGATGCCTGGAACTGCCGGGCCTGGGGCCACGAAGCACGGGCCCCGGATACGGAGGGCTGCTCCCGGGGCAGGGGTCGAGGCCTTTGGTCGCAGGCCTAGAGGGTGCCACCAACACCAGTATCGGCGGTGCGCCTCCACCGAGGGAAGAAGATCCCGATCTCGGCGATGGTGGTAATACTCTGGCTCCCAATGTGACCGAAATATTGCCATCAACGCCGGAATCGAGGATCATCTCCCCCCTGTGGAGGCAAACCCCTGTGGGTAAGCAATGGAATCAAGATTTAAAAAACAATCAAATCTAGATTGAATAGGTTGGACCGTTAGAGCCCGGAATCTGGAGGATCAGTTACATCTAGATTTGAATGTCTGGAGTCCGGAATCTGGAGGATCAACTCGAAAAAAACACTAAATCTAGATTAAACCTGTTATAAATCTTGATTCCATTGATTTTCCCCCCCGGTGGTGGTGCTGGTGCCAACCTCCAGGCCTCCCACTTTGGGGCCCGCGGGCCGAGCAGGTCAGAGCGCCCCGCCCTGGCGGCCCAGGGCGGGCAGCGCCTCTCCTGCGGCAGTCTCGCGCCTCGCCGGCGCGGCGGCGGCCCTCGCGCGCGGGCGTTCGAGATCGGACGCCACCGGCGGCCAGGAGCTGTCGGGGTTGGACAGACCTCCTACCCTGACCCCTCGAGTAATGAAAAAATCATGACGGAAGGTTTTTCTGAATTTTCGGTCTCGGGGGGCCCACACCGGGCCTCGGGAGCGTCAAAAAACGATTCAGGATGCAGAGCCGGTCCTGGGGAAAGGGTCGGGACCTCTGGGGGGCGACGTAATGAAAAAATCATGACGTCGGTGGTCTGGGACCCTGACACGTCGATTAGTGAATTGTCCGTTTTCGGTTCTCGAGAGGGCGCCGCGGCCGTCATTTTCCAGGCTTGCGCCCGCCAGGTTTGGGCCCGAGGTCGTTTTCACTAAACCACGTTTTACTAAAGGCAGGTCTGTCCATCCCCGGAGCTGGCCGGCGTCGAGCGGTCTTCGCTATCGGAAAGCGCGGCCGTTGCGAGACGGAGCGGCCCGCGCGGTGGCAGAATCCCGTGCCGGCGTCGGCGCGGCGTGACACGCCGTGCTGCTGCTCTTGCTGCCCCTCCTCCTCCTCCTCCTCCTCCTCCTCCTCCTCCTCCCCCTCCTCCTCCTCCTCCTCCTCCTCCTCCTCCTCCTCCTCCTCCTCCTCTCCTCCTCCTCCTCCCCCTCCTCCTCCTCCTCCTCCTCCTCCTCCTCCTCCTCCTCCTCCTCCTCCTCCTCCTCCTCCTCCTCCTCCTCCTCCCCCTCCTCCCCCTCCTCCCCCTCCTCCTTCTCCTCCTCCTCCTCCTCCTCCCCTTTCCTCTTTCTGGGGCAATCTGAGCAGTGGGAAAGCGGAGCCGATTGCGCCGACGTTGGCGCGCAGGCATCTCTTCTCAGGCCGCGCGTGAGCGCTCTCGCTCTTCGCGCGGTGTGCCGCGCTGGCGGCCCGCGTGAGCCGCGGCGTAAGGTCGTTGTGTCATCTCGGGTCTCGTGCGGTTTTATCGCGGCCTTGGCGGTTCGCAATTTAAAGCATCCGTGTGCTGGTCACCTCAGTGATTACGGCTCCAGGATGCTAAAGAAGGTTGCCAAGGGGCAACCTCCAGGTCGCAGCCAGTGGGCCCGCCAGAACCAGGTCGTCAAGACTCGGAGGCGGAAGTGATTGTACAGTTTGGCATTGCCAGGATCAAATCAAAAAAATCTTGTCGTCGCTCCCCTGGCGACTTCATTTGTTCGGGACGCGAGCGCTCGGACCCCTCGGCCCCTTCCCCGTTTTCGTGCCCCGAGTCGTTTTTGTTGACGGTCTGAGCGCCCAAAAACAGTCTCGGGCCGCGGAGAAGTATGAAGAACGTGCGGCATGTCCTTGTTCTGAGCCGCCGCACGTTTGGGTGCTCCTTCTGGGCAGGAGATCGTCTCGAGGCTCGCAAACGTCGGAAGAGAAGCGGGCAGATCTGAACGGCGCCGACGGGACCCCGCGGAGCAAGCCAGGTGTGTACTTGCCGCGCGCGGCGGCCGACCACTTCTCCAGGTGGGCGGTTCCGGAAAGTGCCTGCGTGTGAGGGCCAGAGAGATTCACATCACGCCCTCGCCGGAAGTTGGTGGAAGTCTCGTGGGACTCGGCGGAGGTAGAGGGAGGGTGGTTTCGACTGGGAAGTTGCTGGCGGAACGAAAGGCAGGTCAACGCTGGCGTCCCCAGAATTCTCGGAGCTGACCCAGCGGACAGCCAAGTCGATGAATATGTTGACCTTACAGCAGGCGCCCCCCTCAGGTGCCAATTCCTCCCCACCCCTCTTCCGCACGGTTGTTATTCATCCCATTACGCCTGCTATCAGTATAATTAGTACGACAAAAACTACGAGTAATACGACGACCATTACTACTACTACTACTACTACTACTACTACTACTACTGCTACTACTACTTCTACTACTACTACTACTACTACTACTACTACTACTACTACTACTACTACTACTACTACTACTACTACTACTACTACTACTACTACTACTACTACTACTACTACTACTACTACTACTACTACTACTACTACTACTACTACTACTACTACCACTACTACTACTACTACTACTACTACTACTACTACTACTACTACTACTACTACTACTACTACTACTACTACTACTACTACGACTACGACTACGAAACTCACTACCACTACTACTTCCTACTACAACTACTACTACTACTACCACTACTACATACTACTACTACAACCACTACTACTAACTACTACACTACTACAACAACTACCTGTACTCTTACTACTCGTAATTAAAACTAAAAACTACTACGACTATACTACTACTACTACTAACCTATAAAATACTACTACAACCTACTACTATACTAATGACTACAACTACTACGTGCTCAACTACACTAACTACTACTACAACTACTACTACTACGCTACTACTACTACACCAAACTACTACTGACACTACTACTCCCATTTTTACTAAACGATTACTACTACTACTACTACTACTACTAACTACTACTACTACTACTACTACTACTACTACGACTACTACTACTACTACTACTGCTACTGCTACTACGACTACTTTCGTTACTGAATACTGCGATTACTACTACTACAATTAATCATATGTTTACGACTAGTCCTCCTACTACTATTGCTACTAGTACTACGACTACTACTACTACCACTACTACTACTACTACTACTACTACTACAACTTCTACTGCTCCTACTACGACTTCTCCTACTACTACCACTACTGCGACTAATACTAGTACGACGAGCACTTCTACTTTTATCACGCCTACTGCAACTATTACTACTACTACTACCACTACTACTACTACTACTACTACTACTACTACTACTACTACTACTACTAATACTACTACTACTACTACTACTGCTACTACTACTACTACTACTACTACTACTACTACTAC